AATCGAGAATTTCTATTCCGATGTCAATTAACCACAAAATTAACCATGATTATACCCTGATTGTAAAAAAGTTAATTATGATTCTATTGATAGAGAAAACAAAATAGAGAGATGTAACTAATGATTCTATTGCCTATCTGTGTATAGTTTATTGTTCAGCCAAACCGGCTTTCATGTCAATGGGAGTCTCTTGCAGCTATAGCTTGAGACTAAAAATGACATATCAGTTGTATGGCTAACAAAATCCACCATTCAAAAATATACCTAATGTCACAAATAAAAAAATAAAATTAACCATATAGTCCTAGTATGATATCTCCTGGGCCCTGCTCCCATTGAAAAAAAAAATCCAAGGCAACCTTTTGTCACGTTGAATTGTAACTTTCAACCAGATTAGTTGACAAATTTGCTTTCTTTATATTAAAGAATACAAATTGTCTTCCTTTTGCCATGTATGTGGGCAAAAAGCTTTGTAATTTTTTTATAATGAAAGATCTAGAACAAAGGCAAGGTCTGCTTCAATTCTCTTCACCGGCTAATCAACTTTTTTTATAATACGGTTATATATAATTTGCATGGTCATTTCAAATTGAGTCAAATTATTTAATAGTAATTGTCAATTAACTTGCCACTTAAATATAATTCATAATCAATTTTTTAAAATTTGAATACAATGATGTTCTTTCCCGGAACTTATATAAAGTTTATGGGTAAAGCCTAAGGCATCCAAATAGGAAAACATGTGTATTTCTAAGATGAAAATACGTGTACATGTATATAGCTAGCTGCTATTTTTTCATGCAAAGAGAGAAGCGGATAGGAGAGCATGCAATTGGATTAATTAATCACGTGATTTCAAGTAAGTAACCGCTAAATAAAATAATTAAATAATTATTAACAGTAATAAGTCCAATTATGTCATTTACTCCTTCACGTTTCTTCTCAAACTAGCTTTAATCCAACCGCTTTTCGATTTGACGTGTACTTGCATTTTCCACGTTGTGGATGTCTAGAGGCGCAAGAATTGACAATTTAATGATCTAATTAAGGATTCCAAGTCTACGTCATTAAATTCCAATTAGCTGACACTTGGCAGCCTAAACTCTATTATCCCAATATTTAACTATTAATTAATTTGTGGTTTAAAGTATTTTATTAAAATAAGAGCAAAATCGATAAAATCGTGATTAAATTGAGGGAAAGTATAATTTAAGCACTTTTCCAGGTGTTTGATTGACATTTCGGTAAACATCAAGTTCTTCCTCAGGACAGCAAAATGATTTAGATTTCAGACAATAATTCCCATTACAACATGTTACCCGACGACTCCCCACTTCCTTCTGTTCTTACCTAATATTCCTTCTTCTTCATCTTTTTTTTTTCCATTATTCATTGATTTAAGTTAATAGTATTTCTCAAAAAATAGGAACATATACTTGCCAATTCAAACAATCCACACCTGGTTAAGGAAAAACTTGTTAATGGAGAGAAATTTTCTGACAAGGAATTCTTTTCCTGCTTTGGTTAATAAAGGAGAAAAATTGCTTGTTTCATTTGACTTTGTTCACGACCACCAAACATGTAATGGTTCACGTCAATATGTCTAGCTAGGAATTGATTTCCATTTTTTTTGCTATTTTTAGATTTGGTTTCTAGTTGATCTAAATTGCAACTTCTTTTTTTTACAGTATTTTTTTCCTTATCATTTTTATTTCAAATATGTGTATACAACAAATTAATTGTTTGCAACAAATAATTTTCAAATAAATTAATCAGTGGACTTACTGAAGAATGGATGGATCTATGGAAATTTTGTTATTATAGTTTAAGGTTTATCTATAAATAATTACTGATATGAAAAGTGGTCAATAATGGAAACATTAATGAACACCAGAGCATTCCCATTTTATTAACTTCCTAACACATTCATAGGAAAAACTTTGTGCACTCAATTGTCAAGTACCCCACCATTACTTACATAATGTAAAGTTCTATTTACATTTAGGAACATATATAGCTACTTTCTTTCTTTTTTTTGAAAAGAACATGTATAGCTACTTAACACAATCTTTATTAAGAAGTAAGAGGTTTATACATTAAAATAATTTTAATAAATGTAATATTTATTTTTCATTATTTGTATGAAAAATTTAATAAATCAAGATGATTAAATTAAAATTTAATCTATGTATGTACTATCAAATATTCAAATTCAAGTAAGAAAAACTTGGATCACTTGACTTGTTGAGAATATGTTATTCTCTTTATTTATTTATTTATTTCAAATTTTTTGAATAATAACCAAAACTGGATCTCTCTTTCTTGTCTCTTTCTCTCCCCATAAATCTCAAGGACCATTGGGTGGTAGTTAATAATTTAAGTTCCTATTTCTAGATTTATGTCGGGAATTAAGACACGCCACTTGCTATTGTTTAACCAACGTCTTAATGGCATGATTGTACATTCGGTGATTTGTCTGTTTGTTTGTATTAAAATGGACTTCAAAATAAAGCTGTGGACCCCACACCTGATCTGCTCCAAATCCTCATTTGCGGTTCACATTTCACTCTGCTCCTATTTATTTTTTTAGTAAAATACACTATTTTTTAATTTTTAATCTTAATTTTGCACAAATTTATTAATTTTTAAAATAAATAATAAAATTTAAAAATATAAACATTATTAATAAAAAATATAAAATGCTAAAATATATTTTTTTTCAAACGATGTGACTGATCAATGCCATTTCCATTCACTAATCAACCACCCCATGGTAAGTGCTCCATAAAGGAAGAGAGCACCAAAAGGGTAGCACCAGTACTCCCTTCCCTTAAGGAGCATCGGTCCAGATCAGTGCTCCCCTCCTCTAGGAAAGAATTTTTTTTACAAGAAGGAAAAAATTTTAAAATAAAAAATTAGAATTTATATAAAAATAATTTGTAAAATTAATGAGTGGTAATTTATATTCAAGTCATCAAATTAATAAAAATATTAATAATTAATTAATTATTAAAGTTATTTGTTTAGTAAAAAATACTTTCTAAAATAAATTATTTATTTTAAAAATTAATAGATTTATATAAAATTATAATTAAAAATTAAAATAAGTATAATTTATTTTTTTAATAGTCAAAATCAGGTACTGCAAGTCCACTACAACCAACTGCTCCCGCCCTGAAAATCCGGGCGACATATCCACGTGAGTTTTTTCTGTCAGAAGTTCACCTTGACTATATATACATATATATATATATTTTACTTTTCTATTGCAATACTGATCACAAAAATTTAATTGTAATAATTTTTTTTATTTTAACGAATTCAACGTACAAAATATTCAGAACCCATTGATGGGGACCCAAAGTTTAAAAAGTGTAGCTTTGGGATGAGTGCCTAATTTGAAGGACAGCACCTATCTCCCATGCTATTGGAGAAAAGTTGTGGGGGCAGCGGAGTAAGAGCTATAAGTGTTCGGTCCCATCATGTCCTCCAGCAGGACGATTGTCTGGCCTTGTTGGAACTATAATAGAATATTAGTTTTGTTTACAAAGTAATTCACAAAATCGGTGGAAAAAGTTCTTACCCAGAGGGCAGTAGGAGAAAGACCATGACAAACATGAATATTTTAATGTTACTGGCCATATTATAATTAACTGGCTCAACCTAAAGCAGTTTCATCTGGTTAGAAAAAGACACACATGGGATTGTACATATGCTGAAAGCTGATAGAGGGAGGGGGCGTTCTGTTCGCAATAAATTTGGGTGATGTCTCTTTGTCACTGAACCTTCCGTTTTTACCTTCATTTATTTTGCAGTCAGTTCTTTTCTTTTGCCCTCAGAAAAGTCATAACTAAACTTCAAACCGTGGACCATGCTTGGCTTGTTTTCTTACTTTACATTTCTTTTCAATTCGTATATGACCTTATAAATTTTCAATGAAGAGATTTCTTTTCATAATCTTTTATCTTCAGCATAGCACTGAGAGAAAGTGGCAACCCTCACTGCAATGATGTGCAATGCAAATGCGCGTGTTTCATGGTTGGACCCACAGTCACTTCTTAAAAAGTTTCAATTTTTATACTATTTATTTAGAATTTACGTTACTTAATATGTTAATGAGCTCACTTTTTTTTAATAATTTTATAAGGTGTGAGATCAAAGATTTCAAATAAAAATAATTTATTAAGAAGTAATTTATAAATTAATATTTAAATACTACATAAAAAATAAAAATTAATTGAATATTTTATTAAAAAAATTAAAGCCTAAACAACTTTTTTTATCCAAAAATTTAAGTCTTTCCTCTTTTCGATCCTTCTTATGTTTTTTACTATTTCCAAACAACTCATTTATACTTTAATTATAAGTAATTTTTAACTTAAACTAAAATTTTAAATACTTCATATCTTGATATTTTATTGATTAATTTAATAATTTAGATTCATAATTATAATATAGTTAATAGAATATAGTATTGCATGTCAAATAATATATTGAAGTTATGATTCTTTCTTTTTTCTATTTACTTTGTAAGTATATTATTTGATTATTTAATTTTCATATTTAACTTTATGTAGTTTATGAATGTTAATATTTAGTTTTGATCAATGAATTGATAGTTATTAAACCTAATAATTTGCTATATAAGATCATATTTTATTTAATTATAATATTTTAGCTTATATTAATGACTAGTAATTTTGGATGAATTATTGCTTGGTGACATATATTAAAAAATATATTTAATAATATTTTTACTGATACTATCATACATCGTTTTTAAAATATGAAAAATAATCGTGAATAATTATAATTATCTTAGATATTTTTATTTTAAAATATTAAATGAATATACTAGATTTATATT